CGGGGATCATTGTGGCACTGCTGGGGCCTCATGGAACCAAGGGGATCATTGTGGCACTGCTGGGGCCTCATGGAACCGAGGGGATCATTGTGGCACTGCTGGGGCCATGGAACCAAGGGGCCAGTGTGACACTGTGGGAAGTTGTGGAGCCAAGGGGATCATTGTGGCACTGCTGGGGCCATGGGACCAAGGGGCCAGTGTGATAATGTGGGAAGTTGTGGAGGCAAGGGGATCATTGTGACACTGCTGGGGCCATGGAACCAAGTGGCCAGTGTGACACTGTGGGGCCTCATGGAAACAAGAGGCCATTGTGAGCCTGCAGGGCTGTGACACCCCAGATCACTGAAATGCTGAGGGTAACCAAAGGCTCCTTTATTCGATTTTGGTGCACAGGAGAAACACCAAGATACTCTCAAGAGGTCAAAATGACACAAAATTTTACTGGCAAAGTACAAAAAACCAAGGAACTGTGCCAAAGGATTTAATGCAACATGCAATTAAACATAAAACACTTATCATAGCAGTAACCTAATTCACTCAGTCCATTTAATCTGGAAACCTTTAAACATTTAAGTTATTGAGGTACCCAAAAATGTTCCATATAAAGAGCATTAGAAGGGGAAGAAAGAGAGACAGAAAGACAGAAGCTCTATAGAAAGACATGCATATGACTAACAGCTCCTAGGGTTCCAGTGTGGGTGGGACACAAACCCCAGGAGAAGGCGGAGTCCCTACTAGGGGCTGACCTGGTGCTCCATGTTTTTAAGCCTCTGGGCCTTTGTGGACCTCTCCCCAGGTGGGACTTGGGATTGCTCGGGCAATCAGGGCTGGGTTAGTGCTGTCCCCACTGTGTGACTGACAGCCCATCCCAAGGTGTCTCGGGACACTGATCTCATCCAGACTCTGACAGTGACCACCGGTCACTGGGGTGACACCGTGTTGACACCGGGGAACCTCATGGAACCATGGGTCAGTTGTGACAATGGTGTCCAAGGACACCACAGTGACACTGGGGAACCTCATGGAACCACGGGTCAGTTGTGACAATGTGGGTCCAAGGACACCACGGTGACACTGGGGAACCTCATGGAACCATGGGTCAGTGGTGACAATGCAGATCCAAGGACACCACGGTGACACAGGGGAACCTCATGGAACCATGGGTCAGTGGTGACAATGCAGATCCAAGGACACCACGGTGACACAGGGGAACCTCATGGAAACAAGCAGCCATTGTGACACTGTGGGGACCTCATGGAATCAAAGGAGACCATTGGGAAACTGCCATGGAACCAAGGGCACCAGGTGACACTGTGGAACCCATAGTGTCACAGAGGAGCCATTGTGACACTGTGGGTCCCCATGGAACCAAGGGAACATGGAAGAGGCTGATGCCTTCAGTTTTAGCTTTCATATTTTCCAGATTCTGTACTGCATTATTATGTAACTCTAGACTTCATACAGAGTATTAGCAAGTTTTCTTCACAATGTAATCAGAGAAATCAATCCTTTTCCAGCCCCACAACCAAGGACATGGTTGCAGCTTCAGGCCCAAAAAGTGCAAACAACAGTGAATTGAGTTGAGCAAACTGGGAAAATGGGACTGTATAACCATAATTGGACAATTAACCCCAATATTTAAACCAAACCTTATAAAAGTGTGAAAACTCTTGACTTGTTATCCATCTTGAGTGTAGCCTTGGCTGGGCTCTTGCACTGCCCAAGGTGAATCCTTTGAAGGCATTTTAATAAATCCCTATTTTATTCCTTTAACTCTGCCCAGCCTCTATTCCAGGGAGCCTCTCTGGGCATCAAGCTGATCAGCGCCCAGAGAGCAAAGGATTGCTCAGGAAGTCTCCCTCACCCTCAGACAGTCCCATCTGACCAGGGCAAAAATCCAATGGGGAGGAGAACATTATCTTGGGCCCTGGAATGTGTGTTCATCCTTTTCTTTGGGCTTCCTTTTCTTGGACATTTGTAACATCTTCTTTGAGGAACTGAGTCTCACGGACTTGGCACCAAATCTCCCATGGGGCTCCTCAGAGTGCACAAAGGCCAAAGGACCTGCACCTCTACCAGAATTGTCTTCTAGAATTAATTTTTTCAGGAGTGGAATTAATGAAAAAGATTTCAATGAGCAATTACCTCAAATGATTTTTTCCCCCCATTTTCAAGATTTTCTCTCATTAGTTTTCTTTTCATAAGAGGCCAAAGAACATCATTTTCTAATTGATATTGAAGCAGCGTGTTTCCTAAGGAAGTCTTGATTGGTAGGAAAAGTCTTCCTTGAGGTCAGGTGGTTAGATATTTAAGGCAGGACGCATGAGAGAAGAAAGGGGGAGACACTATCGCTGGCGGGATGCATTTAGAAGAGAGGCAGAAATGCTGCAGGTGGGGCATGTATAAAGGAGAAAAGCAGGGACCCCATCGCCAGTGGGATGCATGAGATTGAAAGATTTGTAAAGACTTGGGAGTGGGGAGACCACGTTGTGCCAAGACTGGCACCCGCGGCAGGGTTCTGGTCAGCTCACACAAAGGGAGATGGTGTAAGGCTCCACATGGAGCCCCAGAGTGGGGGTGGGTGTCTTGGGTGGAGGGACCGCAGGGGCTGCGTGCACGTGGCTGCCCGTGGTGGCTTGGAGATGCCAAGCAGTAGAGCCCAGCAGGACTGGCCTGGTAAAAGAGTACCTGGCACTGTGGGGCTGACACCACAGCATCAGGAGGCAGCCGTGTGTGCGGGGGCTGGTCTGTGCGGACAGTGGCCGCACAGACCTGGCACAGTGCCTCCCGGTGCTTGCTACCCCAGTAGAGGCAGCGCCAGCTCTGGGCACAGTCCACGTGGCTCTGCCAGGGTCAGGGCAGACTTAGCTCTGCAGAGGTCTTGTAGACCGCGGGGGTTGCTGATCCAGCAATGGTGCAAGATGCAGTCTGCATGGGGGCCGCTGGTTTCCCTGTAAAGCCCATCAACATAAAGCCGTGAGACCGAGGCACCGTTGGGGGGTGGTGCTCCGGAGCAGAAAGAGGGGAAGAGAGGACTGCCAGCGTCAGCTTGTTATAAGTATAAAGCTGGCTTTCGTAGGCAGGGTTATGAATTGTTAATGATGTAATTTCATTCAAAATTGTTAATTAATGTAATAGATTGTTCTACCTATGTTATGTAATAAGTTACGAAGTTAAATGTAGTATGAGTGTGTGCCCACTAGAGGGGGTAGTGAGAACTGGGTGAGGGAATTTTCTAGAAAGTTAACCCCTTGAAATGATGGCATCAATATGGACTATGATTGGTAAACTAACCAACCAATGAGATCCCAGTATTCCAGAGTGATTGGTCAGGCATGCACCATCTTTTGGACCAAACGTGGAATGATATCAAAAGGAAGTTGGAGAAGATGGAGGATTGGCAGGAAAAGGGCTTGAGCGAATTATTGCGCGAAGCGTAGAAAGTGTATTTGAGGAGGAAAGAAGAGAAGATTAAATCAAAGGCAAGGATTATGATGGCAGAGGCCAGAGACAGCCAAGATAAGGAAAGGGAGGAACAAAAGGGAATGGAGAAACGGAGAAAGGAAGAGACCTGGGAACAGAATAAGGACCCCTGGGAGGGGAAGTGTTTCCACTGTGGGAAAGAGGGTCATTTCAGGAAGGATTGCTAGAAACGGAGAAGGCTGTACAGAGAAACCGCATTGGAGCAAGTGACAATTAGGGGTGTCAGGGGGTCTATCCCCTAGGGAAAATGCAGAATCATAAGATAGAGCCCTTGATAAACTTGGAAATAGGTCCCCAGGGGAAAGAATTTGAATTTTTAGTTGATACTGGGGCTGATAGATCATATGTTTCAAGAGTCTCCAAAGGATGTCAGTCAGGTAAAGAGATGTGTAAAGTAAGGGGCGCTAGTAATGAGCCACTGGAAGTGTCAGTAATAGAGCAAGTTACTGTTAAAGGAAATTCGAGAGGAGGATGTATGGATTTGTTATATATGCCCAAATTAGAATATAATTTATTAGGCCAGGACTTAAAGGTGCAACTAGGAATAGGGATAATCCCACAGGAACGACAGATGGTGGTGAAATTGATGGTGCTAAAATTGGAGGATGAAAAATAGACTGTAAAGCCTGGGCAGAAGAGGGAGGTTGTGGTCTCCTGGTCATAACCTGCATAGAAGAGAAAATGAAACTGGGAATCCCACCCATCAGGGTAAATCAGTATCCCATCTCAACAGAAGGGAAGCAGGGATTAACCGCAGCAATAAAGGAGCTCATAAAGGATTTCCCCGGGGAGCGGAGGGAACACACATCAGCACAGATGGGAGGAACATTCTCCAATGAGATGGGAATATTCTGGATCAGCAGGCTCAAGCTGCCCAGTTTCGTGTCTCTGTAGATGGACACAAGTGTCAGAAGAGACTGAGAACCAGGAGGCCCAGCAGTGTCTCTGAGTGCCCTTGGTTCCAGGAGGCCCCACAGAGTCCCAGGGTGTGGTAGTAACCTCCTTTGTTATGAAAGGGTGGTGTTATAAGCAAAAGTAGTTTGTTCTGGTTGTCCCCCATGCATACTGGTTTGCCCTGGAGATGTACCTTCCCATCCCCCTGTCCATCTGCCTCAAGCCCTACCCCTTATTCCAGATCCTTCCCTGCCACCCAGGGAAACCCTGTCCTCCTTCCTTGTCCATTACAGACCCCTTTGGCTCCCACAATGTCACAAGGACCCCTGGACACCACAAGGCCCTGAGGTATCTCAATGGATCCTTGCTTCCATCTGGCCTTGCTGTGTCACAAGGACCCCTGGATTACCTGAGACCCCACAGTGTCACAGTGTCCCCTTGTTTCCACAAGACACAGGGTTACAATGGCCCCTGAGCATCTTTAGGCACCAGAGTATGAGAGCATCCTCTCAGCATCATGAACTCCACAGTGCCACAATGTCCCCTTGGTTCCATTCAGTCCTGCAGTGTCACAATGATTCCTGGGAACCATGAGGCCCTGAGGGATCACAGTGGATGGTTCCATGAAGCCCCACAGGTTGGCAGTCTCCTCTTGGTTCCATGAGGACCCTTGGCCCAGCGAGTACATCCAGGCCATCCTGGAGCTCAGCTCATTGGTGGTCCGGCACCAGCTCTGGCCACTTCTCCACCCGTGGTGGCTCTACAGCCTCTCCTCTGATGGCCGGTGCTTTGCCCGAGCCTGTGCCACTGTCCACGCCTTCACTGCTGATGTGGTGCAGCGCCGGCACCAGGCACTCGCCTGCCTGGGCCACCAGGCCTGGCTGGACGGCCACCGGGGACGCAGCATGGACTTCATCGACCTCCTGCTGCTCACCAAGGTGGGGCTGCAGTGGTGGCCATGGGGACATGGAAGTGGTGAAGAGGGTGACTGTGGCCATGGGGAGATGATGGTGACCATAGGGTGGTGGCCATGGGGGGACGGTGGTCAAGGGGATGGTGGTGGCAATGGAAGGGTTGGCCATAGAGGCCAGGAGGATGCCGGTGGCCATGAGGGACTTGGGGATACACTGGTGGCCACAGGGGAACAGTGGTGGCCATGGGTAGCATTGACCATAGAGCTGGTGGCCAGTGGGATGGTGGTGCCCATAGGGTGGTAGCCATGGGGGAAGAGTGGTGGCCATGGATGGGATTTGGCCGGTGGCCCCAGGTGGCCCATGGCTCATCTCACCCCTGCAGGACGAGGACGGCCACACCCTGTCAGACGAGGACATCGCGGCTGAGGCTGACACCTTCATGTTTGAGGGTGAGCACGAGCTCCCAGGGGCCACTGGGGAGGAGCCACTCCAGTGTCCCCTCACTCACCCAATGTCCCCACAGGTCATGACACCACGGCCAGTGGCCTGGCATGGCTCTTCTACAACCTGGCTGGCCACCCTGAGCACCAGGAGCGATGCCGCCAGGAGGTCCAGGAGCTCCTGGCTGGCCGGGACACTGCGGACATTGAATGGTGAGATGTCCCCAGGGCCACCCCTGGACAGGTGGCTCAGGGACACGGTGCCACCCCTGCTTGTCCCCAGGGAGGACCTGTCCCAGCTGCCCTTCACCACCATGTGCATCAAGGAGAGCCTGCGGCTGCACCCTCCTGTCACTGCTGTGTCCCGGCGCTGCACCGAGGACATCCCCCTGCGTGATGGCCATGTCATCCCCAAGGGTATGGCATGGCCAAGGTGTCCCCAGTGTCACCAGCCACCCTCATCTGCTGTCCCTAAAGTGGCCATTCCCATCCCACCAGGGGTCATCTGCCCGATGAGCATCTATGGACCCACCACAACCCAGACCTCTGGCCTGAGCCTGAGGTAGGGTCACCCTATGAGGTGTCCCTGTCACCATGGTGGTGACAGCTGTGTCCCCTCAATGTGACTGTGTTGGTGTCACCCCAGGTGTTCAATCCTCTGAGGTTCAGCCCAGAGAACAGCAAGGGATGGTTCCCAGTGTCCTATATCCCCTTCTCTGTTGGCCCCAGGTATGTGGTGGAGTAGGGACAGGAGTGTCCCCAAGTGCCACCCCCGTCCCTGGCTGGGTTCACAGTGGGGTGACACTGACAGTGGGGATGTGGTGGCAGGAACTGCATCGGGCAGAGCTTTGCCATGGCTGAGATGAAGGTGGTAGTGGCACTGACACTGTCCCAGTTTGTTCTGCGGAGGGACACGGCTAGGCCACCCCCGCGCCGCAAGCCCGAGCTGATCCTGCGTGCCGAGGACGGGCTCTGGCTGCTGCTGGAACCACTGGTGGGAGTGGCCTGAGAGACACGGGTCACCAGGACATGGGGACATCCCCCAAGGGAGGTGTCACAGCCAGGGGAGGAGCAGGGAATAAACGGGAGCATGAACGGGACAGTATTGTGGTGGTGGTGGGGATGTGTTGTCCTTGGTCATGGGACACCTCATGGTATGGACATGTCAACCCATGGGCTTGTCCCCTAGTCCTCATCCCTGGCCATATAGCCCCATGTCACCATCTGTACCCATGACAACCCCTCCATGCCCAATATTGCCATCCACAGACATGTCCGCACCCACGTCCTTGTCCATGTCCCCATCCCCACCCATGTCCCCCAATGTCACCATCCGTGTCTTAGTTAAATGTCTTTATTTTTACCCCAATGTTGGGTGAAGGGGTGAAGAAAAATGAAGGAAAATCAAGGTCAAAATAAAAGGATTTACGTGTCCATGCTGTCTGAGTATCCCTGTGCCTGGGTGGGTAGAACCTTTTCTAGAGGAATTTCCACTCCACTGTCTCCAAAATCTTGTGGTTTTGCTCCAGTCCATCACTATTTGGCTGTGAAAAATGCATATGTGCCAGAGAGAATTAAATCATGGAATGATTTCGTTTGGAAAAGACCTCCAAGACCATCCAGTATTCCTTGATGCCACCCGAAGAAATGATTGGATGCAAAAGGTGAGATATTTTTGGGGTTAAAAGTAAAAAACTGTGCTGTCCCCTATGTTGCCTCTGCTGAGGCAGGGTGACCTGGTTCAAGAACGGCACGGCAGCCACCTCAGGCTGCTCGGGCCAATTACTCACAGACACCAATATGGAGGATGGTAAATGACGTTTACTCCCTGGTTACACAACCTTATATAACCTTCATCTGCTTACGCAACGAACCAGGAGAAAGGGGAGGTCCCTATCTTTCCGTCCAGTGCGAGATCTTCCATTCCTGTCCCTATCTTCCCACGCTTCTCTATCCTCCCACACCCCTATGAAATTCTGATGTCGCTTTGCATCCCAATGGATTTTTCTCTGGCTGTATCCAAGTGCCCAAGGGGAGCCAGGAAGATGTGGAGATCACCAGCCACGTGTCTTTCTAGCATGGATCACCAGGACCATGGATCACCAAGTCTCTGCCCAACGAGGGTCAGTGTGGACCATCCAGTGGGGGTCCTGCAGTGGGGGATGGAGTTGGAGCAGCGCTCAAAGCTCTTCCCGCACTTGTAGGGCTTCCCTTACTGCTGTCTCCCTTGGTGTTGGGTCATGGCAGAGTTCTGGGAGAAGCTCTTCCCACACTTGGGACTCTGTTAGGGCCTCTCCCCAGTGTGGATCCGCTGGTGGGTAACGAGGGTGTTCTTCTTAAAGCCCTTCCCGCAGTCGGGGCAGCGGAAGGGCCTCTATTCTGTGTGAATCTGCTGATGCTTGAGGAGACGGTATCTGCTCTGAAACCTCTCCCCACACTCAGGACACTCATAGTGCCTCTCACCAGTGTGGATCCTCTGGTGGGCAAGCAGGCCGGACCTCTGGCTGAAGCTTTTCCCACATTCTGAGCACTTGTAGGGCCTCTCCCCGGTGTGGATCCTCTGGTGGCATATCAGGTGGGAGCTGATCTTGAAGCTTTTCCCACATTCTGAGCACTTGTAGGGCCTCTCCCCGGTGTGGATCCTCTGGTGGCATATCAGGTGGGAGCTGATCTTGAAGCTTTTCCCACATTCTGAGCACTTGTAGGGCCTCTCCCCGGTGTGGATCCTCTGGTGGCATATCAGGTGGGAGCTGATCTTGAAGCTTTTCCCACATTCTGAGCACTTGTAGGGCCTCTCCCCGGTGTGGATCCTCTGGTGGCATATCAGGTGGGAGCTGATCTTGAAGCTTTTCCCACATTCCCCACACTCGTGGGGCTGGTCCCCGGTGTGGATCCTCTGGTGGTTCATCAGGTGCTGGCTGATCCTGAAGCTCTTCCCACATTTCCCACACTTATAGGGCCTTTCCCCAGTGTGGATCCTCTGGTGGATGATCAGGTGGGAGCTGGCTCCCAGGGCTCATCCTCCCCTGATCCTGTGACAAATGTTTTTGTGATTGACGTCAATTGGCAATCGAATCAGCAAATGTTTCTATCTGCTGTGTTGAAAATTGACACTAAGAAAGGTTTTGGAACTTTCTGACCAAATAGCCAAATAAAGCATTGAAATAAAAGAAGTATAGTAGAGTAAAAGAAATGAGGTACCAAGACGACTGATGCTTAGAATAAAATAGAGGAAGTTATGGTAAAGCTAAGAGATATTGCAACAAAGCAACTAAATGCTTATGTATAAAAAAATCTTGATGCGCTTGACAAAATTATGTAGCAGACACCAGTGTAAGGCCTCCATCCAGATGACGACAAGAAGGACAGGAAGCCAACGACCACCAGGAAAGATTATGAAACTGCAGATCCCAGCTTATTGATATTTGCTGATTTGGACTAACCAAGCACATTGGAAAATACTTTGTAGGCTTAAAACCAGTATATATACACTTTACTGAACTTGTAAGTGGTGTGTGCCGTGAGTAGAGCAGTGACTCCCCGGCCACCGAGCGCTGCTGGCTTGCTTTCTTTGAAATAAAAGAAATAGAAATAAAATCCAGATTGACTATTGAAATTTTATATCAATTTGGTGATGCTGACCTGATGCCCTGGGATCTCTCAGACTGAGGCTACTGCAGGGGGCACCCCACTTTTGTGGCCCGTAGAAGCCAATAGCCCGGGAGCTAACAGCACCACAAACCTGGTAAAGAAAGCAAGCAAGGAATCGAGCTCCCTGAGAACTGCAGTTTAAATCACCTGCAATTCCAGGGCACGAAGATGCAGACAAGAGCAGCGGGCTGTGAGTATCGTTCGGCTGGGTGGACACGACAGTGTCTGATGAAAGCGAGTGAGTGAGACGCAATATTATCGCGGAGCCATCGAGGAGTCCTTCTGTCTGCGCTCCCACCGCCCCGCGAGGGGCTCGGCCAGTGAAGGGACAAAGCGAGTGCTGTGAGACACTGGTCACCGTGGGTCAGGGGAAGAGGAAGACCTCTGGCTCAAGGAGCCCCCAGAGAGGCTCAAGGAGCCCCCAGAGAGGCTCAAAGGGTCCCAAGAGAGGCTCAAGGTTATGGGGCCCCCAGAGAGGTTCTAAAAACGAGAAAGGGAGTGAATAAGCAGAGATAGCCCCGGAACAGCCCCTGGGGTTAACAACTGCACATTGGGATGCAATGCCCTCCAGGAAGGGAAGAAGAAAATAAGAGATGGTCCATTATTGTATGGTAGAGTGGACTAAGGAAGGAATTAGGCCTGATCATTTATATTGGCCCGTGTTTGGGTCCTTTGAGGACTGGATGTGTCAAGCTTTAAATATTTATGTAAATAGTAAGGAACCCTTTGATCAGGAGGAAAGTGATTATGTGGCACTTTGGAGGGGGGGGTCTCTGTAGTGATAACATTATACCCCCTGAAAACTAAAAAAAGGAGAAAGGCAGAGGAAAAACAAAAACCTTGGGAACCATTAGACAATTTGCCCCCTCCCTATCAAGGGCAGGAAACTCTCTCCTCCCTTGAGATGCCCCAGAGCTCGACAACTCCACCCCCATCATCACCATCTAGTAGGACTCAGAGCAAGAGGAGTGAACAACGCGAGGAAAATAATTCTAGTGGGGGGGAGAAAGGTCAAAAGACGAGACTATTCTTCAGAGCAAGAGGAGTGAACAACGCGAGGAAAATAATTCTAGTGGGGAGGAGAAAGGTCAAAAGAAGAGACTATTCCCCTTGAGAGAAGTACTTATGGGAAGAAATGATAGGGGAATAGCGTTTGTAACAGTCCCACTTCGTAGTGGGGATGTAAGAGAATTTAAAAAGGAAATGGGGCGGCTGCTTGAAAACCCTTTAGGGGTTTCCCAGAGGTTAGACCAATTTTTAGGCCCAAACACCTGGGAGGCGCTTCAAGCTATATTAGGAATAGTATTTACTACTGAGGGGAGGGAAATGATTAGGCAAGCAGGAATGAGAGACTGGGAAAGGAGACACCAGCAGGGTCCACATGGGGATCAAAAATGGCCCAATCAGAACGAGCAGGACAGACAAAATGTGAGGGACCTGGGAGATATCATTGTACAAGGGATACAGAATGCCATACCTCGAGGGCAAAATATTAACAAAGCCTTCAGTGTGCGCCAAGAAGAAGATGAAATACCTACAGATTGGCTTTAGAGGCTCAGAAAGAGCCTGCAAACGTATTTCGGAGTGGACCCAGGTTCCCCAGTAGGAGCAGTATTGCTTAAAACTCCATTTGTAGCAAAATTATGGGGAGACATACAAAAAAAAAAAAAAGGCTAGAGAAATGAGAGCATTGGCAGGACTGGGGTCTGCAAGAGCTATTGTGGGAAGCCCAAAAGGCATACGTGAGGAGAGGTGAAGAAACACAAAAGGCAAAAGCCAAGATATTTGTAGCAGCTGTGAGGGAAACTCAGAAGGGGGAAAAGAAAGTGTTTAGAAGAGAAGGACAAAGACCTAGGGGAGATTTTAAATAACTTCCCCAAATGAGAAACCCCGGAGATGGTCCTGCAGATTATCATTGCTACTACTGAGGAAGGAGAAGACAAAGCGAAACTGTAATCAATGACAAAAAGATGGGGAAAAAAAAGAAAAAAAATGTCTGAAGAGGACAAATAGGGGTGTCAGGGGCTGTAGAAGAATTTATCTTTTTAGTGGACACTGGAGCAGAAAGATCAACTATACAGTACCTCCCCAAAGGGGCTAAAATTACTTCAGAAATTGCTCTAGTTGTGGGAGCAAAAGGGGAACCATTTAAAGTACCCATACTTGAAAATGTTGAAATTGAATCAGAAAATAAGATTTGTTTGAATGATTTGTTACTGGTACCAGAAGCAGACAATAATTTGCTAAGAAAATTTGGCTGATGCAGAAGCACAAAGGGCAGCAGTATGCTTAGCCGTGCTTTTAAATAATTTGAATAAATGTGAGGATGATACAAAGTATCCAAAATGCTATATCTCAAAGGAAATACAAGAGATGGAGAGACTGGGGGCTAAGCTAGAAGGGCATAAGTGGCTTTTACCAGATGGCAGAGAAATGCTATCTAAAAGTAATGTTAAAAGAGTAATTCCCCAGTTACATTAATGAGCTCATGGGGAACACGAGCACTAAGCAACCACCTTTTAAAGATTTTTGGGTGTAAAGAATACTTGATATAGCAAAACAGAAGACAAAAGGATGCCTTATTTGCCAGAAAATTAACAAGAAGACATCTAGACAGACCCCACAGGGAGGGAGAAAAACTGCCTATAGGTCTTTTGAAAAGATACAAGTGGATTTTACCAAACTACTGAGAGTGGGAAGATAGAAGTATTTGTTAGTAATAGCAGACCAATTAACTCATTGGGTAGACACCTACCCTGTGGCACGAACAACAGCACATTTTGTTACAAAGATTATTTTAGAAGAAATAATTGCATGATTTGGGATTATTAGTGATTGATTTAGATCAGGGTTCCCACTTTACCTCAAAAGTGTTAAAAGAAGTCATGAAAGCTCTAGGGATCTCTTGGGAATATTATACCCCTTCACACCCTCAGAGTTCAGAGAGAGTCAAAAGAATGAACCAGACCCTAAAGCATCAGCCAGCAAAACTAATGATTGAAACAAAACTATCTTGGATTAAGTGCTTCCCATTGCCATTGTTAAATATTGGAACAATGCCAAACTCAGAGCATGGGATCTCCCCATGCAAGATGTTATATGGGATGCCATATTCTCAAGAGATGCCGGGAGATAGAATAACCTGTATTGAAAAGAACTGAAATTGCTATCCCTTTGTAAGCACTGAATGCAGCTATTGTAAGGAGAGGTGGTGTTACCATTGTCACAGGGGTGATCCTCCAAGTGGGTTGTGTCCAGAGTGTGAACACATTGAACAGATTTTAACTGAATATATTTTAAAAAAGAGAACAGAGGAAGGAACATTAGAACTAGATTCTTAACAGTGGTGGATGCTGTGGAAATACGGATTGAGAGGGGGACTATCAAGTGAGGCAAATATTAAAAAGATTGAGCGCTGCAAACGTAATCGAGTCCCTCACAGACCCGAGCCAGCCAAAGCAAAGAACTGGGAAGTATTCAAGGAACGGCACGAAACGCGGGAGAACTCACACGGAACCCCTGAAGTACAAATAGGGGTGTCAGGGGCTGTAGAAGAATTTATCTTTTTAGTGGACACTGGAGCAGAAAGATCAACTATACAGTACCTCCCCAAAGGGGCTAAAATTACTTCAGAAATTGCTCTAGTTGTGGGAGCAAAAGGGGAACCATTTAAAGTACCCATACTTGAAAATGTTGAAATTGAATCAGAAAATAAGGTTTGTTTGAATGATTTGTCATTGGTACCAGAAGCAGACAATAATTTGCTAGGAAAAAATTTAATTACAGCTTCAGGAATAAATTTAGAAGTGAAACAAGGAGAACTACAGGTACAGTTTTACACCTTAATGTCAGAAGATGAAGACAAAACTAATCCAAAAGTGTGGCACCATAAAGGGGAAATAGGAAAGCTGAAGATTGGACCCATTAAGATAGAAATAAGTAATCCAGTCGTTCCCATAAGAGTATCAGAAGCTTTGAGGGGTCCATCAGTGATAGCTGCTGTCCAGGCAAGAGGACACCAGAGGGGAAAAATGTGAGGGACCTTGGAGATATCATTGTACAAGGGATACAGAATGCCGTACCTCGAGGGCAAAATATTAACAAGGCCTTCAGTGTGTGCCAAGAAAAAGATGAAATACCTACAGATTGGCTTGAGAGGTTCAGAAAGAGCCTGCAAATGTATTTGGGAGTGGACCAAGATTCCCCAGTAGGAGCAGCATTGCTTAAAACTCCATTTGTGGCAAAATGATGGGGAGACATACCAAAAAAAAGGCTAGAGAAATGAGAGGATTGGCAGGACTGGGGTCTCCAAGAGCTGTTGTGGGAAGCCCAAAAGGTATACGTGAGGAGA